CTGCTGTCAGAGGTATCTATGCTACAAATCACACATAGGGCTGAGAAAGGAGATTCACCTGAACAAGCCTAAAACCCAGACCAGCTCTTTTCCCTGCTTTTACACAAAGATGATGGAAGGTCTTCCATTTCCTAACACAGCACATAGCTTTGCACTCACGCTGTGGCTGAAGTGGGTAAGAAGATTTAAAGAAAAGAAAGAAAATATTAAAGGCTCTTTTCTCTCCTGCAGCCAGGTTTTGCTGTGCAGAGTAGCAGGGACCAGACGCCCTGTAGGGAAGCAAGTCTTGCCAGATCCTGTAAGAGCTCAGGAAATGCCTGAAGTGGCAGGGGGGCACGTGGAGGTGGCAGTCCATCTCCTCCCCTACATTTGGGTCCCCTGACACTTGTCTTGCATTGAGCTCCTGGGGGACATATGCAGTGCATCTCCCCACAATGTTTATGAAACCTTCCGGGGGATGTGACACTCAGGAAGAGCCTTCATTCTTGACCCCTCTCCAGCTGGCTGTCAGTCTGTCTGTCCTAATTTGGCCTAGCTACACTCCTTCCCAGCAGATGACTTCTGCTCCTTTCTCCACCCTACCAGGACAACAGCTCAGTCTAAAGCTGGTGCTGGAAAGCGGGTCCATCCTGTTCCCCCAGGGTGTCAGCCCCAGCCAGGCCAGGACAGCCCTGCCAGCACTGCCTCGGCACCACTGCAACATGCTCCCACCAGCGTTAAATAAACACTAAACAATGTTTAATACTTTGTGAGGAAGCGCTATTAGCAAGCTCCAGTTGTCTTATCAGAGCCACTGGCTTCTCACATGCTGCAATTTAAAATGACAAGAAACACAGCTGAGATTAAGAATTAAAAATAATACAAAAGCCAGGCAAAGATAAGGTAAGGCTGACGGAGACTGTCAGCTCCCAGGGTAGCTTTGACCCCCAGCAATAAAGCAACCGCCTGCTTCAGCTTCTCCTGCCAATTACTCTGAAGGCAGTTCATTCTGCTGAGGCAAATCCTTGTCTTTTCTACCCACAACAGTCTTCCTGTTTGATGCCTACAGATTTACATCTCCGTGTATAAGTTTTCATCTCTTAAGCATCTGAACACTACAGATGAAGAAGAGACTTGCTTGAGACAAGTAACTGCTTTGTAGTCACATAGAAACACAGCTTCTAGCATCTTTCAGATGTTGTCTTCTTACGGCTTTTTAAAAACAGAGATTACAACAAAGAATCAAGACCTAAATCGGCTTAATTCACTCTAATGCAATCTCAGAGATGTGGGAAAACCTGACAGCGTCGAAGTGAGTACTGAGCACACATCACATGGAGAAAACCCTTAAATAAGGGCGAAAATACCAAAGCCAAAATCCAGAAGAAAATGCTCTAGGACCTCAAACCAAGGTTTAGTATTAAAATCTCAAATGTTCATATTTCAGGGGTGATTTAGCATTGTGAACACCCTATTGCACTACTGATAACATGAACAAGCCCCCATAGCCATAGTCAGAGAAAGCAGTGCACTCATTAGCACCTGCTGCTAAGCCCTCATTTAGCTTATGATATTTCTCCTCCACTTTTTAAACCAGCCTCCTCACAGCACTGCCGCCTGTTTTGCCAGTCTTAACCCTTACTGTAGCCTTTTGAAGGCAGCAAATAAATAAAGGTTTTCATTTCTGGGTGTTTGAGTTGCAGCAAAAAGGAAACATCTGTTGGGAAGGAGGAAGCTGCTCTGCTTTCATTTCACTTTTGGAGCTGATGACATAATTGGCCATTAGATTAGCAATTAAAGAGAGCCAACTGGAATGCTTATTCACATAAAAAAGGGAGCTCAGTTCCTGCCCAGGCCTATTTCAGTGGTTTTTTTAAATCCAATTTTCCACTTAGCTTTCCTCCTTGCTCCAGGGAGACACATATGAACCCTTGAGAACCAGCAAAGCTGGTGAAAGCTCATGCTGCCAACAGCCTTGCTCAGACCTACCCACTGTGGGGACTCGAGGTGCCTTCCTAACCCCTGCAGGGACAGGGCAGAGGTTTGCCGTGACTCATCTTACCAGGATTTGCCACGCTGCCGAGCAGGGCTGATGCCTGACTCACTCAGCACAGCCCTCGCTCCCCCTCTCTGAGTCAGGTCTCAGAAATTGCCGAGCGGAGGCTGCTCCCACAGTGCCAAAGACCCAGGGTGCATTTTTGCACCCGCTTACATTTGTTGGCCACGCAGCACAAAAGCAATTAGGAGTGCGTGGGTGAAATCTTACTGTCTGGATCGGCAAAGTCATCGTTTACCCTACTTCTACATGGTTACACCAGAGGGAAGCAAGACCAAGGAGCGGGCGAGATTGAAGCCCTAATTAAATGTATTTTTAGCAAGAACAGGAAAAAAAAAAACCCTGGGTTGCAGGTTTCCAAAGGTAACAAAGAGCTTTCTTGGTTTGTTTTCTTAAAACCCCCTAATAATTATCAATCCATCTATTTACCTCTGAACTGATAATATTTCTCATGATGACCAGAAAAACAAATCAGAACATCTCACAATACCCTCCTCAGAGGATTTCTTTTGGAGCAGTAATGTAAAGGGTAAGAGCCATTTAGCAGCCTACTTAATATACATTTTCTGCCAGACAATTTCCCCTGTACCATATTATCAAAGGCATAGCATAATTGCTGTATAACAACTGGAGCATGTCCAAAAACATTTCTAAAGCCTGGAATGATCTTGTTCAGGTTGAAAGTTCCATGTTTTAGAACAGCCCCTTCTTCCCAAGACTGTTTCAGACCAAATCGACAAGAACCGAGCATCTACCTCCTGCCTCTCAACATCCATGTTCCAGACAACAATTCCCCCATCCGCACCACAGGAGATGAGCTGCCGAGTGTGGTGAGCATATGAGAGAGACTGAACTTTATCACTGAAAAAGAAACAAGACAGTTACTAATGAACCATCTATGGCTAGCACACAAGTAAGCATAAAATATACAATAAAGCAGTATAAACCACTTGTTTGCCCATAGGTCTCCCTTCTCCCCTCACTGTACAAGGCAACCATCAGATGCAAATCAGTCTTTGCTCTCCCGCTGGGACCAGAACCAGAGCGTTGCTCATCTAGGCAGCATTTGCAAAAGAAAAGACCTGTTCTGAAAACTGCTTTTGCTGCTCCTGAGACGCTCTGGGAAGCCTGAACAGAGCTGCAGCTCCAGGCCTCTCCAAAGGCACATCTGGATGCATAAACGCAGCCCCGGTAAGGCAGCTTCTTGTCACAAAGTCAGTAACAACTTTGTTTCGTAGATCTCTGCAACATCTAGGAATGAAGCACTGAGGAGCTATTGAAGATTTTCTTTTAGCACTAACAAGCACAGAGTGTTTCAAAAATGATCATTTTAGATGACCTTTAAAGGTCCCTTCCAACCCAAACTATTTTATGATTTTACGATTAAGATCCAGAGGCTAACTTCTTATTAGGAGAACTAATTTCCACAGCAATAAATCTAGCAACGGTGTATTAGCAAGCCCCACTGTTAGGGTACAAGGGTGATCTAGGAATTTCACCAAGAGCTCTGCAGTGCTCTGAAAACCCAGCGGCATCCAAATCACTCAGCAGATGCAGCATCACTCAAAAGAAACGTATGAATATGTAAGAAACTGTTAGACCAAAACCACCATGGGATTTTGCCTCTCCAGACCTGAGCCTGGCATGCAAGCCTCATGTATATGCACTCCCAATAAACTGAAACAAACCTGTGGCAGTGCCAGTGTTAAAAGGCTAGGAGGTCACTGCAGTTAAAGCCATTCTGATCTCCACTCAGTGTCCAGCACAGGCTTACTCTATGCTATGCAAATGTGAGGTCTGCATGTGCAAAGATGAAGCCTCTTCGCATTGATGAGATGGTGAAGGCCCTTATGGGTAAAGCACATTGCTTAGAATTCAGGCTGTAGGTAAAGTGGCATGGAAAAAGTTAGTGTGGAGGAAAAAGGGACTAATTGTCCAAGCCTGATGCTCCCTCTAGGGGAAGGAAAGACCTTGACACCTAAAAAGCAAGAATTTCTCTGCAGCTGCTCTCATTTGAGGACCCTCCTCTTTCCAAAAAAGGTGCAAGCTCTGGCATAACACATTCATGAGTATAGATATTGTGCTTTCCTTCACCACGCTTTGCAAAACTCTCAAACCAGCCTGTGGGCCCAACGCTGAAAAACTTACTATAAGCAACTTATTCCAGCTGTATATGGACCAGAGCAAGTCACACATACAAGCTTGAGGCATGTGAAGTCTGTAACCTTTGGGCTGTTTGTTTCCAGATGTGGCTTCTGCCTTTAGCTTTTCTCCCATAAAAGCAGGAGGAAGGGCTTTAAACGTACTTATGTCCTTGCAACTCGATGGCTGTTCCTTTTCTTCCTCCAATATCCCACATTATAATGGAATGATCAGAACTGCCTGAGAATAAAACTCGCTGTATTGGGTCCCAACAGAGAGCAGTGACACCACCTGAAATAGGAGATGCACACAACAGTCATTTCATTACAGAAAGTGAAAGACAAGAATGTAGCTAAATATATATCTATAAAGATATGATAAAAAATATGGATAGTGATTAAAATGCAGGTCTCTTTAGCAAAGGCTGTGCAGCCACTGTGTTTGCCAGTTGCAAACTAACAGCCTAGAAAACCTCCTGAAGCCCCATCCTGCTCTTCTGTGGGAAGAGGACTCTGCTGCCACTCGCATGGATGAATCCACCGAGCAGTGAAGCCTGGTAGAAGAATGGTCACGGTGTGACTTATCATCTCCATCATTCCAGGAGATAGATTTTATTACAAAAGAGAAGCAAGTGTGGAAAATTATCGGCATCTTCACAGTATCCTAGCACAAGGATTGAACTACTTTGTGCTACCTCATGCTTGAGCTATTAGCATTCAATCAGAGAGGAGGGACACAGAGAGAAAACACTGAGGGATGATCACCATATCTTCTGTTAGATGGCAGGATCGCATCCCAGGGTGGCTGGTTTTAAAGTGTCATGGGGCACAAGTCCCAGCAGTGAAACAAGCAGTTAGTGCCTCCAAGATGTGCCTATTCCACTTGGGCAAAAGTATCTACCAATATGGGTATCTCCTTGAGGAGCATCCTTTTACCCCCAGAGTTACCACAACTCATTCTACTCTCACTCTGCTTTAATTAGCAGCTACTGATTGTGGCGTTTTCTGCCATAGAAGTTTTCTGATCAGAAATCTGATTGCTCTTGTTTTTACCAATAAAGAATAAACTTCCCTGAGCTGTAGTAACAATTTAAGGTCTATCTCCCTTCCACACTATGCACTGACATAAGTCACCCTAGCATTTCACAGAAGAGTCAAACCACTATGATGCTGAGCACAGGTGAAGAACCAAATGTGGTCTCTTCCTGAGGCCTTACCTGTGTGTCCCTTAAATGTCGTAACAAGGCTGCAGGACTCTTGCTCTAGTTTGAGTATGGTCACTTGCCCAGAATGATCACCAACAAACACGTGCCGGGTTTCCACATCAAATCTGATGGACAAATGCTGAGAAAAACACATTGCTTATACAAGCTTTGCATTCCTTTCGTGACTTGTTCATTCTTTTAACACAAGTATACTACAACCTCATGAATAGTGCTCCAGTCTCAAGGAGGTATTCAGAGTATACTTTTAGGCATCTAGCTCATATCTGTTCATATTAATAGTGCAGTCTCCCTGAGCAAACCAAAGAGCGAGAAAAAATAGGACTATTCCAGAGGATGTAATTTGTGTTTTTTATTATAAAACACCTTTGAAGTAGCCCTTCACCACAAACAAAGGAATCATCTCCCCAGGCTCTCTAAATTAGGTGCTAGAATGGGATAGTGTCCACTCTCTCCTTCCCTTCCCCAAATTGCATAAATAACTATTACTAGCTTTGTCATTACGGTTAAGTTTATGAATACAACGAAAGGGTATTGTTTTATGTGGTACTTGGGGAAGTGTCAGCTACATCAGGTGCATCACACATTTTCTGAACTGAATAAAATCTGGACCCATTGAACAACCTACTGGAATCACCTATCTGGACAGATTCTGACTTCTTCATCCAATTTAATCCATGTTCAGAGTCCATACTGGATATTTAAGGAGCAACTGCAATTTTATGCACACAGAACATTGGGGAAAAAAACCCACATTCCTGGTTCTGCCAAGCTTTTTGCAATATTTGTCAATGATTCTCCTTTTCTCTGCCCTCCACATCACGACCCAACAAAATTTTTAATCACTCGAAATGGTCTGTTCTCTAGACAGATTTAGTAAATACAGGACAAATTCCTGCATTAAGCTTTCAAAAGTATTTATCATTTAATTAAAAATTAAGTTCAGTCTTTATGCCATTTAGATTGGCTGAATGACCAGATGATATAAAGCAAGTCCATGTTCAGACAGTAATTTTGAGTCAGTCTCACATCCCATGAACAAGCTAAACAGGCATAATCTATACCATGTACACTATGGGGCACTAAAAGTCTGTTTATGCTAACCCCTGATTTCAGCCTAAGAGCTCATACTTTTCCACTTCCCTTTTCATTTGCAATAAAGCTGAATTAATATTTCTTTTATTGTCAGGCAGCTGGGGCAACTCTAGGTGAATAAGCCACTTGAGTGCCATTTCTGGAGCCATTTACTCTTTAGTTAACCCAAATTCCCAATACATAGTGGGCTGTTCCAGAGTGAAGGACAAGTACTTATTATTTTATATTAAAGTCATTTAATTTTTACCATGCATACACATAGGCACACTGACCTGATCACTGACCTACTTTGCTACCACTAATTCTTAGAAGAAAGCAGGCACTGCATGTTTAAATGAAGGCTCTGTCCATATTTATTACAATAGCAGACCACAGTAGGTTGCAGATCGCCCATTGTTTTGCTCAAAAATGCTTAGACCTAAATATGCCACCACGCATTAAGGAGACAAATCAAGGAGAACAGACAGTTTTTAAAATTGGCTTTAAATAACGGTTTCTCTCACAAAGCACTGAACCTATACAGGGCACAAAATTTGGAGGACAACTAGAAAAAATAAACCGAAGAGGCTGTTCAAGCGCCAAAGAGCAGAAATAAGACTGAGAGCTCAGCAAAGGATACTGCAGGCCGCAGGCCCCTGCGCTGGTGCGGTACCCTCCCAGCCGCTGGCCGCTCTCCGAACAGTGCCATGTGAAGTGTTTGTCTTGTCCGGTGCTTAACACCCACTCCATTTCCAGGACAAACAGAATCATCATGACCCTGCTTTGATGAGCTGAAAATTAAGCAAACATATAATCACATTGCAGAGAAGAACACGGACGGCAGAAGATCATTGCAAATACCAACTGCACCCAGTTCCTCCATTACCTACTCACCCGTTCACCCATCCCTACAGAAGAAACTGGTGTTTAATAATCCCGTTGACACAAGCTACCATGCAAGCTTGTAAGGTCCCTGCTCTGCATGTTCAGTGTTTGCATGAGAAAGAGCAGAAGCAAGACTTAATTCCTTCCATGCCTACTGCAGCCATTTATCTTCTACAGTAGCACAAGTCTTCCTTTCATCATTGTATCATCACCAACAATGCTGCCATTGTGGAAAGCACTCTGGGCTCTACTTAAACTTCTTTTGAGCTGGTTTTATGACAGCAGTGCAGATGCCTATGCTGCCGCTCCTCCCACTGCGAGGTCTGGTGGATCTGGGCTGCAGATTGTGGTACCCCAGCAGAACAATGAATTACAGCACAGCCACAACCCAGCACCAAAGGGAAGTTTTAGCATTGCATGTAAACCAGCTAAAAAGGAAATGGGAATAAAATAAAATAAAATAAAAAACCTAAAAAGATCACAGCTGGGCAAGATGAATAAAACAGCTGAAGGAATAAATTTCTACTGCTACCTAAATAAAGCCATCAAAAGCTTTTCATTAAAGCAAGGGAACCCAGGCTTGTACAGACAGCTTTTGTATGAATGACCAGTGGGCTTGGTTGTGAAAGTGCTGATTGAGCCTACTTTTAATAAAACAAGTGGCTGGAAAGACATGCAGAATTACTCCCAGCTGTAACTTAGCAGCGAATGCCATACTTCTCAATCCACAGCCCTACTAGTTTATTACTGTTTTGAGACCTGGCAACATGTGTCGCATGAAGCAGGCTGCTTGTATTTGTTTGTATAAAAGCTGACACACTGGAAAGATTAAATATCTTCGGAAGCTTAAAAACCACCCTGAAACCTCTGTTTGAAATGCAGAGAAACTCCTCAGAACAGTATGGGGAGATTGCTGCCTGCCCTATACAAATATACAGCACAGTTCAAACCCTATGAGGGGAACTAGTTGTAGCAAAGAATAGGATGCTTGTACAAGCCAACATCTGCCCCTGATCCACATCGCTTTATAGACCCAGATTCCTCGAGGAGAAAAGTCAATAGATGCATTGACACAAGTTGCCATAACCGTGATTGGCAGCTGGACTAGTTTACAGCATCAGACCTGAACTGTGCCCAGATGCGTTCACCCTCGCCCACAGAAGAGCTCAGATTTTGGCTCTCGTTTCCACATGCTTTTAAACTCCAGGTTTGCAATCAGGATAGAGGGATGGGGAGCACCTAGGAGTCACCTGAGCTCTTTTAAACAGACCTCTCTTCTCTCCACCCTCCAGATTTCTTCTCTGGGAAGAAATTCGGTGACCCCACGGGTGACTACTGCTTGTCTTTACCTACCTGTTGGCCTCCCTGGGAGCACCTGCACTAGCTGGTGGAGTGGTGCACTGCAGAAAGGGCCATGATGGGATGAATGCTGCGATAAGTGCCTGATGGGCTTGTATACAACTCCCGGGGGCTTGTGTGCACCAGGAGTGCTGCAGACAGACCCATGCACTTCCACAGGATGTGCAAAGCTGGCTGAGATGAGGCTGTTCCAGGCCTGTCCAGGGATGTTTTCTCAGCACATGGCATCTGCTGCTGCTAGTGTCAGCTTCCCATGGTTCGAACTGGCTGTGGGGATAGCTGGCACCACCCAACTCTCCTAAATCTCTTCCTATCTCCTCCTAAAATTTCTTCTAAAGGGCAGGGCTTGTACCTTCTGCTAGAAGCATTGCCTGTGGATGGTGAGGCAGCTCTCTCTGGCAAGTAAGGAGTAGGCATTAAAGAAATGTGTGCAGGCCAAGAGGTGGAAGGAGTGTATGTGATAGCTTTGCTTATCCTCCCTCCCCCAAAAGAGCTTTCAATTCAGTGCTCTGTTGCCCACCTGCAAGTGCTGCACATATTAGCTGGTGCCACCACACACACGCTGATGGTAGAACTATCTGAACCAAGTGAAAGAGTACGGGGGAGGTCATCTAAGTAAGGGAGGAAAGAGGACAAATGCATGTAGAGAGTCACTTGTCATTTAAGGGGAATTTGACCCATGTAAGGCTGAAAGAAGAAAAATTCCAGAAGGTTGGAAGTTGATAGCAGAGCATGGAAGAAGTCTGGGCCTTAAGATTAACACAGGTTCAGGGTCATGAAGCAGCAAACAAAAAGCTGGTCCTTCATTCATAGAAGGTTTGATCACCATTTGTGTGCAGAAAAAAAAGTAGAAAAACCATTTCCAAAGCTGTTCACTGCAACAACAGCAGGATGGAGAAGTGGGGATGGAGGGTGAATGGGGCCACAGTACAGAAAAACCCACAGTAAGCACCAGGCAAGAGCAGATCTGTGTAAGCCAGTGTGAAAAGAGAGCCCATGTGCAGAAGGTAGAGAAGCAGCAGACAGGAGAAGGGAGCAGGTCCATCTGCAGCAGGAGGGTGGGAGGGAGCAAGGGAGCTGCACTCCCACCATGAGAAAGCAGAAGTGAGCACTGTGCAAAGAGCAGATTGGAGAGAGGATGGAAAGGCCTAGGCAAAAGCAGCTGCAGTAAGGAGGCGCACACTGAGACGTCAGCAGCCAGAGTGCAGGGGAAAGGAAGGTCTGCGCTGCGTGTAAAGTCAAAGGTCCAAGAAGCACAGCCAGTGCATGGCCACGCACAGCGCAGGGCAAGAAGTTGTTCTGGGTGAAGGAGAGAGCTACAACAGTGAAAAGCAGCAGCAAACACCAAAAGAGACGTGGAAGTCAGTAATAAGAGAAAAAAGCTTAGCATGTGCAAGAAAAGCACAAGAGAAGAGGCTGTGCATAAGGGAAAGCAGAAGTAAGGTCATGGCATGAGCTGGCCTGAAGGCAAGGAGGCAGAGGGACAACCCTGAAATGGGCAGGCTGCAGAAAGCATGGGACAGAAGCAGGTCTACAAATCCTGCTCTGCAGAACAAGTATGTGTTAAATAAATAAAAAAATTAAAAGAGCAGGAACTGTTATATCATCCAGAGGGGGCACAGACTGGAAACGTGGCCCATTACAAGAAGGTGCAGTTGCAAGGAGCAGGGTGCAGAAGGCTATGCAGAGTGGGAAGCAGCAATAGCCATGCGGTAGGACTGGCCTGCGAGGGGCTGGAGGGGGCTGGCAGGGGCTGGAAGCTGGGGCTGCCAAGGGAAGGGAAGGGTTTCTTCAGTACTCGCAGAGCTTCCCAAGCAGCACTGTTCAAATGCTTGCACCACCCCTCCTCATGCAAGGGAAGGAGTAAGCACTTGTAGGATGCCAATGCCTCGTGACCCACCCCAGAGTCCTGACTTAACACTGTGCCACATCCCCAATCTCTGTTTTGATCCCTTTCGAGAAAGGGAAGATTTCACAACTCCAGACACAGCATTGCAGCAAAACCTTCACAGAGCACAGCCAGCCATGTCCACTGCCAGTGCTCGGTCGCTGTACGACACCGGACCTGGCCGCAGACCCCTGCCAAGACCAAAGCACAGCCTATGCACATGCTGTCATTCTTCATCCACCATTTGGCAGGCATATTCATGGCCTTTCAAGATGCAATTAGTGTCCTTTAGTCACTACAGCAGCTTCAGCTACTTATAATAATACCTTGTTGTGGGACATGATCAATAGCGAGCCAGTTGCTGGGCAAGGTGCTACTCTTAAGAACATTGCTAAGCATTTACAAGCAAAGCTAGCACAGGCAAAACCAGCCAGCATGGCTAAGCTAAAGCTCCCTGGTAGACTAAATAAAATTATTTAGTCCCTTAAAATATCTTCAAAGAATATAAAGACTTTTCTCGAAAACTTTCAACAAAACCAACCATCCAACACTTGTTAAAGTAAGGCCACCATACGCAACAAAATTACATGGTCCTTTTTAAAGATGTTTTTTTTTGCCTGAAGGCTTTGCCAAGATGGTTATGCCAACCCCTATACCTTGGCACAGCCATGGGAAGAAGGTGTACTGTGGCGATGGGATTGTAGAGGGGAGTCACCCTGGACCAGGTGAGGAAGGTTCACTTCTGTTGGATCATGACATGCTTACCCAAAGGACTAAGTGGCCCTTCCTTGCATATTCTCCCAGAGAGCATGGTGAACATGAAGCCCTTCCCACCTTGCTGTGTCCCAGCAGTGCTTTTGGACTCTGGTCCCAGTGATGCCCTCAGTAAGCCCAGAACCAGTGTCCTGGATGGAGGCAACTGTGAGGAGCACAGAGGTACCTCTCGGTTCATGGTCCAATGGAGCTGTAGGAGCCTGTAACTGACAGCCATGCCCAGAGCATCTCACTCTTGCAGTGCTTCCCCAGCACCCTCCAGTATGGGTCAGCCAAGCTCAGGGAAGTGGCAGAGCAGGTGCTGCACTCCCCTACCAACACACGGGGTGAAGAGTGGAGAATCAGGGAGAGCATGTCTCTATGGATGGGGGTGGTGGGAGGCACTGTGCTGTGGAGCAATGGTCAGCCTCAGGTCATCAGTGCACTGCAAACAGTGGAGGATCTCTGCTTTGGTTTCCTCTCTTGCACAGTCAAAAGCCTGCCTGCTAAAATTACCTGTTGAGATTTTGGGTGACACTCAGTGGAGCTGAGGCAACCCAAGATTGTCCTTGGGTTGCTCTAATTTATTCTGTGCCATGTCATTGCTGTTCTGGACAGAGGAGCAGCCCAGAGGGGTTTGGGCAGCTCAGCATGGGCTGCTAGCATTGCGGGTAAGCTGGGCAGAGCGTGTACTCATGCAGAAGCTCTCCTCCATGCCCATGTCCTGCCCTGCGGCATTACAGCAGCTGTGAACCGCTGTTCCAGGGAAAGTTTCCTACTGAATCTGAATGGCCTTTCACTGAATCTTGTCACTCCTGCAGCAAGGAACTGGGACCCACCTTTCCCCCTCTCTCGTTGCCATCTCCATTTCCAGCAATAACAGCGGTCTGGCTTTTCTAAGCCAGGAGGGGGGGGAGAAAAAAGAAAAAAAGCCTCACCAGCAGTACCTGAGGGCGTATGTTTCCAAACCCAAACTCTTGCCCACATGGCCGGCAATGTGCAGGAAGAACACCAGTCCTAATGCTTCTTTAACCCTTACACAGAGGGCATTATTATACAGACACATACACACACACACACACACAAAATTGGGGGATCCCAGCAGCCTGGAATCACCACACTTTTTTTTGCACTCCCAAAACTAGGTCACTCGCACACTGACATTATTTTTTAAATTAGGGGAATACAGTTTTCAGTCAGCTTAAACAAGGAAAAGACCAAACATCAAACTCTGATGGCAGGGGCTCCGTGCCCCTGGGGGACACAGCAGGCAGTGAGCACTGCACACAGTGGCTTAAGCACCTGAAGGCAGACACCGTCTGCTGTCAGCGGTCAACGTGGTTTGGGCTAGAACTGAAATGGTGCCTATTTTGGACACAAGTATTGCTTCTCTTGCCCTAAAATAAATCCACAGATTTCAGATAAAACCTTTTAACACATCATCTGAGTGTCCTGGCACAAAATGACCAGAACTGATCAAAAACCTACCCATGCTGACAACAGGCAGCCTAGGAAGGAGGCAACTGCAGTTGGGACTGTGGTCACTCGTACCGCCTCTACTGACGTTAATGGAGCCTCATTAGAGTCCTCTCTTGCCCAGCGTTTGGGGGATGCCATCTGAACTCTTGGGGTTCTCCCATATGACAACCCATGGAGGTTCTCCACGGCACCTTCCTATCCAGAGGCCTCCTCCAATGCTCTGCAGCAGCAGCGCATCTGGCATACTGCAGCAGAAGGCCACGAGAACGGCCTTCATTTTCCTTTGTTTTTTTTTTAATTTTATGAAGGGTGCTCCCCAGGCCTTGGGTGGGCTGCCACAGGCAACTGGTTATTCTGCCATACTGCCAAGATATACGTTTCCCCCTTCCACAATTTTCAGCCTTTTCCCTGAAGAGCTCAGAAAGAAAGGTGGTCTCATGCATACGTTGTTCTGCATATGCAGAAGAAAAGACTTCAGTTCCCCTTTCCTAGGCTGTGATTAGCCTGCAAGATTGAATCCAAGCATGTAAATGGATGAGCTAATAACAAAGGGGGCTACAGTCAGTAGAACTCTTCAGTGCCACAACCTTTAAATTTGAAACCTAGGTGTGTCTGGAGCAATCACAAATTCAGATACTAAAGACTTGTACAGTCAGACTGCAGCAATCTGATTTAAGATTCACATATGTATTTTATCATCATTGGATATTTTTCTTCAGTTTTTACAAGCTAAGAAAAAAAAACAGGCATTCTAACTTAATTTTACAACACACCAGGTATTTGTGAAAGAACTGAAGTAAAACGCTCGAAAGCTGATGCATGTTAGCCCTGCTCTGCAAAAATCAAGATTCTCTTCATACCTTAAAATCTAAATGTTACAAAGTGATCCCCAGAGCCTCCATTTAGAGATTGTAAATTATCCTCTCAACCTTCCAAGGTATAAAACTGAAAATATATGAGTAAATACCTATTTTTAAATGTATGTGAGAAATCTCAAGCCAACACTTCAGAGGCTTCTATACAGAAACACAATGGTTAGCATATAATATGATATGATACCGTATAATATCGTACCACCTTAGTCTAACAGTAAGAGAGATGTAAGAATAAATTGTCATATGTATTTGTTACTTTTAGAAGAATACCTGTCCCAAGTGCAGTGTTCTTTAGAGGTTTGACAGGGATAAATAAGTAGGTTTCTTAAAACATCACATTAGCGAATACCAGAATATAATTAGAAAAAATATGGATTAGCATTTCTTGACCTTTTACTGTGACAGGTATTCACTGATAATCTTGAGATTACTGAAGCTGACAGTTATTAAAATATAACCAGACTAACCCCAAAAGCTGCAGTCCTAAATGCTCCAGCCCTAAAAGAGAGGTTAGTTTTCTAGGTTGTTTCATTAGATACACTGAATTACTGAAGACTAAAAATGAATACATCTCTTCCCCAAACGTGGTCTGGATGTTGGACAATTTACTATCTAGAACGATATTCCAAAGGAACATTTAAAAAGAAAAACAGAACATGAAACAGCTCTTTAAAAGTCTTGTAATCTCAGAACAAAGCACATTATTGATCTATTGATAAAACCAGCATCTACATTAGTTTAAAAAAAAAAATATCAATCACTGTAAAGGAGATGTCTCTGCATTCACACTCCTTACGAGAACATTAACAAAAATTAATGACAATACAAACCAATTTACACGGATCATGGTTCTTACCCTGGTAACTTTTCACTAGTGTCATCTTGTTGTAATCTTCTGACAAAATGAATTCCTGAGGGAGACAAAAGAAAAAACAAAAGAAACAGTGCTTAGAGATGTAAAGTATTTGAGAGTGTTTTCATTTGAATTTGGTACCAAGGGAAGCTCTCCCTTATTCGCAACCACAGTCCTGTCTATACTTTTGCTAATTTTGAGTACCTCTATCTAAAAACCTAAATTATTTCACTTTCTAAAGCTGCCTAAGAAACAACATCACAAGTGCTTCTGATCAGAATGGTGGAGATAAAATAGGAACTATTAAAAAAGAAGTCAAAAAAGCTGACAGAAATGGCAGGCTCTGAGCCGAGGCACCACAAAATGAGAGCTGAGTTGTGGCACGTAGCGAACACCTATTGCTCAGGACTGCCTGGGCAGAAACCTGCATGAAACATGGCTATATGTGCACATGTGTGCACGTGTATATATACACATGTATCCATGCATGCGCTTACACTACATCCCAACCTGAAAACTCAGGAAACTCAATATAAATATGTAAGAGCCCCTTGAAGTTGCTCAGTCCAAACTAGGTACCAATAATCCATGACGGGAATACATTTCAGGTTTCTGTTCAAAAGTCTTTCAGTGCTTCAGACAAATAGAAACCCAGACTTTTTCTTCGCTTGATTTCATCCCACTATCGGTTAATATTTATTCTGGTATCTCAGAAGCAGACTTTCTTGCTTTGCTACAGCTTCGTTGTGGCTAACAAGCAGCTGTGTGTAGGACGAAGGGCAGCTTAGCGCAGGCTGTGGCTGCCTGGGGAGAGATGCGTGGTGTGACCCAGCCGGGCTGGCTCCTGTGAAGAGCACACCTATGGGGACTGCTCTGCAGTCCTGCTGCCTTCGTGCTGCTGTT